CTCAAGAGGGCAGCGTGCCACAGCTGATCGAACGCTTTCGTGATGTCAAGAGCAACGACATGAGCCTCACCATGAGACTGGATGACTTTACTCCACAGTTGCGTGACGTAAGCTAGGAGGTCCCCTGTGGATCGTTGGTGCCGGAAACCGTACTGCCTGTCGCTAATCAAGCTGTGACGTTCGAGGTAGTCCAGAAGCTCGCGATTTATGCACCTCTCCATCACTTTACTTATAACAGAAAGCAGAGCTATAGGCCTGTAGTTGTAAGGGTCGGTTTTAGATCCTTTTTTTGGGATGGGCTGTACATGAGAAAATTTCCAGTTTTCTGGGAAGGTGCCGGATTCATAAGATATCTGGAAGAGGCGCGAAAGAACTGGAGCAAGCTCAGCTGCACATCTCTTCAGTACAATGGCAGGAATCAAGTCCGGACCAGAAGCTTTGTTGATGTCGGGCGACAAGAGCACTCGTCTTACGGTCTTATGCCTGAATGTTACCTCCCGCATAGTGTGGGGAACCCTTTGAATTGACGGCACTTGGGCGTTGGTGGGGACGTCCATGGTGGAGTTGGCAGCAAAGATCTTGGCTAGCACTTCCGCCTTGGCATTTGAGTCGAATACAATAGTTCCATCCTGACACGTAAGTGGTGGAAGGCTACTGTGTGAGAAGTTCTTTTCAATCTGTTTGGCCAGCGTCCAGAAAGACCGACTGCCATTGCGGTGCGACATTACCCTGTGCCTAACTTTTATATCATGCTGGGTTTTGGCATTGCGAACCGCTTCGTTATATTTGTTTCTCGACTCGACGTCGGCTTGTCTGTTCTCTACAGTGGGGTTTTGTAAGTAGGTTCTGTGGGCCTTGATCTTCTGCTGGCGAGCAGTGTCACACGATTTGTTGAACCAGCCGTTGGACCCTGGTTTAGGAGCTTTCACTGTGTGAGGGATGTATTCCTCCATTCCGACGTGGATAATTTCGGTTATTGAAGAACAGACAGTCGACGCATCCGCGTCAGTGAAACAGACATCTCTCCAAGGAAAGCTAGAGAAGAAGTCTCTGAGCCCCTCCCAGTCGGCATGTCCGTAATGCCAAGTTTTGCGGCCTGTGCGAGTTTCTGCGGCCACAGCGGCTTCTGACCGAAACCTAACCTCCACAACACCGTGATCTGAGTTACCCAGGGGGGACAGGACGGCAGTGCTGTAAGGGGCAGGATGCGTGGTCAGAAAGAGATCTAGCAGGCTACTGGCGTGTGACGAGACGCGGGGGAAAAAAGTAGGGCTCGTCACCAGCTGGGTCAGCCCTTGAGTAAGAGCGAACGCTTCGACTGCACGACCTGCTGCATCGGTCTTATTTGTGCCCAACCAAAGCTCATTATGGGCATTGAAATCACCGAGAAGAACTACCTCTGAAGCGGGGTGATTGATGTTCAGGAAGTCGATCTGGACGGCGAGGTATTCGAGTAGGTCATCCCAGTTATGGTTCGAGGGAGAGCGATAAAGGCAGCAAGTAAATTTGGGTGATGTTTTGGAGTTGAGGCGAAGCCACAGAATGTCCTTCCGGTCTGATTCCAAAGAAATATCCCTGGAGCAGGAAAGACTGCTGCGGACAAAAGCCACAACTCCCCCGTTCTTTCTCAGATTGGAGTGCACCTCGTAGTTTGGGAAGTTGAGATGGTTAATCGGTGCAGCCTCTGAGATTTTTGTCTCCGCCAAGAAAAGCACGGCGGGACAATTGGATTGCAGGTAGTGATGAACAGCATCAATGTTGCTGTTGATCCCGCAGATGTTGGAAAAACAAATTTTATCTTCGATGTTGTTCCCTCGAGCCCACCCTCCACCCGGACATTCCGAGAGTGGAGTGAGTTTACGTCCGGAGTTTTTAGTGCTCGAGGGATCCATCATCATTAATTTCTTTGTTTTGGTTCATCACCTTTATTTTTTATTACGGCTGAAATTCTTTGGGGCATAGTGCTAACCAAGTTTTGGCAAAAATTTGGTGTAAACAATCCCATATTTCTTGAAGCTTTTGTCTCAGTTCGGTGATTGTACGAGCAGGATGTTGTCGTAAAACCTTTTTCATCTCGTGCCACAAAGTTTCAATAGGTGACAGATCTGGACTGCTAGAAACCCATTTCAAAAGTGGTACATTATTTTCTTCCATCCATTTTATAGCCTTTTTTGAGGTATGGCACGCTGCACCGTCTTGCTGAAACACAAAATCTTGGCCGGATGTCAAACATTCTTCCATCACTGGTAAAAGCGATTTTTCTAAAATTGCCAAATATTTGTTTGTATCTACATTTACATCAATAAAACAAAGTTTTTCTACTCCTTTTGATCAACTTCTGCCCCAGACCATAATGGATGCTGGAAATTTCACTTTTCTCTTCAGACAGGCAACATGGAATGCTTCATTTTTTCTGCGAATAACTCTACTGCGACTGTCACCAATACAAACTTCGAATCAGGCCTCATCACTCCATTGTATTGCACACCATTGTTGAGGTGTCCATTGTCTATGTTCTTTAGCCCATATAAGCCGATTTTTCTTTTGCAGTGGAGTTAATAGTGGCTTTTCTTTGGCCTATAAACAAGTTGTACAATTTTAGGGTTTTTACTTCACTTTTTTTTATAAGAAAACTTACCTTGCAAGTGCTAAATCCCAGTTTTTGGGCCTCTCTATGAGTTGTGGACCTCGAAATTCTCCTTCCAACAGCGTCACTCCACAGAACACTTAATTGTAAATAAGTGGCACGCCTGTTTTTCACGATTATTCTTCTTAATGCTCTTCGGTCGGCATTAATGATATTACTTTTTTTCACATATCGTGGCTTAATATTAACTGAACTAGTTACGTTATATCTTCTAACAATATGTCTCACACTGTACCGCGATAAGTCTAACAAAGTTGCAATTTCTAAGTTTGATTTCCCAGAATTAAAAATTTAATTATCAGTAACCGAATTTTCTCACTAATAACCTTTCCTCTGCCTATTTTGAAAACCTTAACTACCCAAAACTATTTTAAACGTATTCTGACAGCTGTGATTAATAAAAACAATTGTCATGGCTTTTATTTTGCATTGAAATGAAAATAGGTTAATATGCTGTAATTGCAACATGTGTTATTTTTATGCTGCAAATTTGATTAGGGAGTGATAAAGTTGATGTTTTCTACTATATGTTATCAAAATATTCATTGTTAATATTTTAAAACTATAACACCATGCTACATTTTTATTATTTGTGTTTTATATGAAAAAAACTAAGATTTCAATAGTTGAGCCAACTGAAGCGGGAAGGGGCTCGTAGGTTGATCCATCTCCTCAACCACGTTAATCGAATCGCTGATTCAATCCTTAGCGTAGAAGATGAAACTCAAAGAACTGAACTCTTAATCGATGTTTTGGCAGCATTAGATTCTTTAGAGATGGCGTCTAGGCAAGATCTTCAATTAAATACACTTTTTCAAAATTCTGATGAAAATTTTCTTGCCAGAGAACTCATATCCATGATTCAACTGTACAGATTTTTTATCTAGACCTCCCACTGTCCAGACTGTTCCACCGAAGCCTCAAAACATAGAGAAATGGAACTTAAAATTTTCCGGTAAAAAAGGACAACTTTCTGTTCATAAATTTTTAGAAATTTTTAATGAACTACGGTCAGCTCGTTATTTGACTCGGCTATAGATGTTCTCACTGGGAAAGCGTTAAACTGTTTCAGGGCAAATCGAAATAGAGTAACTGATTGGGAAAGTTTAGCTGATTTGTTGAAACGTCATTTTGAATCTCCTGATTTTCGTGCTAGAGAGAAAAATCAATAGGCTACTTACTTATCTACTAAAAAAGCTGGTACCACGTGGGGATCTCAATTACAGGAATCTCAGACATAACTATGACTTTAATATACCTAGTTAAAGGAGCAACATTTTCCATCGTATTTTCACCTACAACGCTGTCAAGATGTATAATAGTCTTAATAACAATTACAAACAGAAGGGAATACTTGCATTCAAGAGAGTCATTAAGAACCATCTTCTGGGGTCTGCTAGCCAAGCTGGCTGATATATATATTTTTTTTTGTCTTTATTGTTTTTTTTTATTAGAGCGGGACATATTAAGATTAATCTATTTAAGCCTTAATTATTGTATATATTATTTAGTCGATTGCTATTCATTGTTATATCTTTCCTTTTGTGTGTGTTCCTGTGCTGTGAGGTTAAGTGGTAGAGTAGCCAGCTGGCTAAACTTCGCCTCGCTGTGTAGATGGATTAATAAAGACATTATTATTATTATTATTATTATTATTATTATTATTATTATTGTTATTATTGTTATATTGTATGTAGGAATTTGTCCCTATTTTATACTCCCCAGCTCCCAGTTGTTCGTACCTTGGAAGAACTTGATTTCGAATGTCTTAATCTTGAGGTTAAGAAACATAGAGTTGAGAATTATGTACCCCCATCTCGAAAGCGTCAACCGTTTGTTGAGCCGACTTTGCACTCGTAGAAACGGAAAGTCCCCATCCTTCTACCTCTCACGAACCTGAAAATGCAAATAAAGTTGCTGAGGTAACTGAGGTATCCAAGGCCTCCCAAAACGATTTATCGCGTAGGGTTACTTGCTGGAATTGCCAAATAGTAGGACATATTAATCGCAATAGTTCCAATCCCATGAAAACTCACTGTTATCGCTGTGGTGCACCAAATGTAGCCATTCCAGTCTCAATTGTAGTAGTTCGGGAAACAACTCCCGGAGGAGTCGTTAGGTCGTACTGCTTCCTCCCACTCAATACCTTTAACGGCCAACACTCTTGATTTTCAAGGCAAAGTTCTTCTCGATTATGTTGTTTCACATGCCCATTGAGTTCAACGTCCTTACGAGGGATGTCCTTTAAGTTTTGCATATGGAAATAAAACAACATGGTAGGTAGTTTTAAATGACTTTATTGTCTTTCGAAGTATTCTCCACGAAGATTAATACACATCTACATGCGCTCGAATCAATTTTCGAAGCACTTATTCCACTCGTTTGCTGGCAGATCCAAAACGGCATTTTTCAAGGCGTCAACTGGTTCTTCTGGTGACTGGAACCTTTGACCACACAGTCTGTTTTTAATTTTCGGGAAAGTAAAGAAATCGTTAGGACTTAGATCGGGACTATATGGAGGATGGTCCAATAATTCCATTAAATACTGCCTTGTTTCTTGGGCTGTGTGCGAGCTTGCATTGTCTTGGTGGAGGATGATTCTTTTTTCGGGGTTGATTTTTCGAAGCTTGGTGATGACTTTTGGCAAACAAATGGTGGTATACCAATTCACAGTAACAGTTCTTTGCTCATTAAGAGGCATTGCTGCAATATGACCTGCTTTTGACACAAATGTTGCGACCACCTTTTTCGAAACACTTCGAGAACGGATGACTTTTGTTGGCTTTTATTCACCTTGGAACACCCAAACAGCCAACTGTCGTTTATTTTCTGGTATCAACGGGAAATTGTCGACTGATGTGGCGCTTCGTTGCCGAAAACCGACAGTAACTCAGCAAGGCATTCTTGTTGCGATAATTGTCTCTGAAAGTTGTAATAAATTATGTCGCGAAAATGTTCTCGGTTGAGTTCCATTTTTCTAATGACTTGGTGACACTTAAAAATTCACTGTAGTAAGAACACTGCACGTATCGTTGTGAAACTTTGAATTTAAGTTCACTAAATAGTGAGGCTAAGATTCAGTACTGACGTTCGATCCGCGCGGCCTACTATGTTTCTATACGCAAAACTTAAAAGACATCCCTCGTATCTTAAAGTCGATATAATTGGTTATTCAATGTTACTTGATTCTGGTGCTAGTCGTACATTGGTTGGACTACCAGGTTATGAAATACTTTTAAGCTTGGGTCTTAAGTTAATCAAACTGTGGCAAACGGTCAAGTGTGTCATAGTATAGGTTATATCCAAACTCCGATAACCTTAATGAGCCGGACGCATATTATCGATGTGGTTGTGCTCCCTGAGCTATCACATAAAATAATCTTAGGTATAGATTTCTGGAAGGTCATGGAAATTGTCCCTGATCTTAACCAGGATGTTTGGCATTTTTCTAAATCTAATGAACTTGCACAAATCTGTAGTGTGCATAATATGAGTCACTCAACATCTTCTGATGTGAACAAGTTTTTTCAAGGGGATGGCTTGAAATTTGCAAAAGTGCAACGATGCAACTGACTGGAGGAGAAAAGGTGATGATTTTCTTCTGTTTGGCTGAGGGTCAAAATATCATAAAAAAATGGAAGACGTAGCACCCAAACGAAATTAACTAAACTTAACCCTGTAATGCTTAGTGGGGTTTCGCATCACCCCAAAGAAAATTCAAATGTTCACTAATTTTTTGTGCATAAATCGGCAACATCGGAGATCCCGCTATGTTCATTTGAGGTTAAATTGTGTGTGTTGTTGGTCGCACATTTTTGTTCAGTGCAATAGTTTATATGATATTTTGTGTTTGGGGTGACGAGTAACCCCAGGTAAGCTTAAACTGGTATTTTTATTTCATTCCACACACTAGATTACGTAATTTATTTAGATGGCTGTCCGACCAGATGATCCCAAATTTGAAGAAACTCTGTTACGATGGAACGAAGAACTCGACAATGAACCTGATTCAGATAATGACGGCACTGACTATGACGACCATGTTTCAATTCAGTCCGACAGGGAGAGCACCTACTCAACGGATGATAGTGAAGTAGAGAGTGAGACAGAACAACAACTTCCTGACAAAGTAATAAAAGGAAAAAATGGACATATTTGGAGCACTGAGCTTCCATGTCGTACTCGAACACCTAAGCGAAACATTGTTTCATGTATTCCAGGACCAAAAGGTGCGGCCAAAAATATTTCAACGGAATTAGGGGCATGGAAGTTATTTTTTAGCGCAAATGTTACAGATATTATAGTGGTGCATACAAATATAGAAATAGAACGAAAAAAAGGGAAATATGTTGCTAATTGTGGCTTTGTTAACGAGACAGACGTTGAAGAGATCTTGGCTTTGATAGAACTGCTTTATATGACAGGTTGTAGAAAAGACAATCATCTAACTACAGCAAAAATGTGGTCAAAGCATGGACTAGAAATGTATCGATGCGTAATGAGTGAAACAAGGTTTAGATTTTTGATATCTTGCCTCAGATTTGACGACAAAACCATGCGAGACCGAGAAGATAAACTTTCTCCAGTACGTAATATATGGGAAATGTTTATATCTAACTGTACAAAATACTATACTCCTCACAGTTATTGTACCATCGACGAACAGTTATTGGGATTTCGAGGCAATTGCCCTTTTAGAGTACCTATATATTTCATCAAAACCTGACAAATATGGAATCAAAGTTGTAACGATGTGTGATTCACGCACATATTATATGGTTACTGCTATTCCATATATCGGCAAAGAAAATAGGCCAGATAAAGAACCTCTCCCAGCTTATTACGTAAGAAAACTGACAGAACCCATTCACGGAACCGGACGCAATTTGACGATGGACAATTGGTTTACTTCGATCCCACTGGCTGACAAAATGCTTGTTGACTACAATTTGACCATTGTGGGTACTCTCAGAAAAAACAAGAGGGAAATTCCTCCATCATTTCTCCCAAACAAACGAAAAGAAATTATGTCTTCTCAATTTGGATTCGACAACCAAAAAACCTTGGTGTCCTTCACACCCAAGAAGTCTAAATCTGTGCTACTTTTATCGACAATGCATTCTGGTAGTACAATAGATGAAAATAAAAAACCCGAGATAATAAATTTTTACAATTCTACCAAAGGAGGTGTCGATACCTTTGACCAGATGGTGCACACATATTAGGTATCCCGCAAAACACGCAGGTGGCCATTACGCTTTTTTTATGGTATAATGGATCAAGCAGGCATTAACTCCAACATTATTTTCCAAATTGTTAAGCGTGGTAGACAAAAAAGTGTTCGTCGAAAATACCTATTTGAACTTGGACTACAACTGGTCAGGCCTCATATGGAAAGACGTTTGACAAAATCAATACCTCGAAAATTAAAAGAATCAATAGTGAATATTCTAGATATGAAAACAGAAGAAAAAGTTGATCCACCTCCAGCAAAATTGCTAAAACAGACTCGCTGCATTTTATGTCCAAGAACAAATGACCGAAAAACAAAAACTGCCTGTGCGAAATGTTTCAAGGCTGTTTGCAGTAATCATCGAGCTGAAATATGTACCGAGTGTTTGAAATAAATGTTTTATTATTGAAACAAAAGTGTCTATCTTTTATATTTTGTTCATTAAATAGGAATATATCACTGGGGTTATGGGTAACCCCGCCTAAGCAGCTATAGCCGTGCTATTCGCCTAAGCGCTCCAGGGTTAAGTTACACAACAAAAAGAAAAGGGTGCTAGTCTATGAATGGGCGCTTGGGGCCTAATATCCCAGAGTCCGTAAAACGACAAAAAGACCCCTGCATCACGACCTCAACGGAAACAGAAAAGCGAATCACGCAGAATACGTAACGTTCTAGAGGAAGGAACCTTGAGTGGCCTTGAAGATGATAATATTTTATAGGAAACCAGCTAACGGAGAAAAACTACAGAGTTTTTTTGCTGATCGTCAACACCATACTGAATCGCTGAGAAAGAAAGATATAATACCAGTGAAATTACACAATCAATAAACTATCAAATTTGCAGAAATAAAATCATTGAAAAGGGGTTTGGCCTAGGGATGGCCACTGTATAATCAATGAAGAGAAATTCAAATTACTGATAAGTGATAAATAGAAAAAAAAGTTGTGTTTTGTTTTTCATTTGAGCTTCCGCAAGACTACTCGTCTTTATCAGTTACAAATTTCATTGAAATATTGTCATCCACTGTTGAAAAATACCATCGTTCAATATAAACGAGTACCAAAATGGAAGCATTAGTAAAATGGTAACTCTTTCATCAAAACCGTGGCGGCGTATGTTCGTGGTCAGGCAGAACAAAAATGGATGGGTTAAGCTTCGCTCGATGAAAAGCTCTTTTCAATATCATGGAGGTAATCGCTGCTTGTTCTTTTTTCTGCTACTCTTGAGTACGAAAAATGATGCGTTTTGACGTGGAAAGCCAAGTCCAGAGCAAATGCAATTTTCCACTTTCTAGTTAATTGCGCTTTCATTCGCATCGCTTCCCCAATATCCATGGGCGGAACGGAAGCCGTAGACGTTCAGAGTAACAAGTATTGTCTATACACAACGCAGCTGCAAACGTAAGTAGTGTTTTATGCGGTGCCAAAGTGAAAATGTGAGTCTAATGTCCAATGGACGTTGTCAGGTCTATTCCCAAAATTTTGTAATAGTCTAATCGTATAAGACGAAAGTACCCCTAGTTTGCGAAATAATTGTAGTCTGGTTTCATTGCTGCAAGTTGTTCAAAGGGCGATTCAAAACATCGACGCATAAAGCAGGTACACCAGTTTTTGTGGGAAAAATTTTTATGCGACAACAAATAATGAAAAAGCGTGTTTTTTGTTCATTTATCAGACCTACAAAATGAGACCACACGTTAAAAGATCCGAATAACTACAGAAAAGTTATGACCGAAAACCGAATTTTCCAAATTCGTAGGATTCGTACTTCTGAATAACCACAACAAAATTGGAGTAATTTGGTCAAGTAACTTTTGAGAATTTTTAATTATTTATCCCAAAGCACCTGTTTTCCGGCCATCACTACTGGTTTATTGGGCAATATACAAGGTTCGTTCAAAGAGCAGTACACTCTTCGATTCTTCTCCGATACGCAACTCCCTCATGATGCATTTGAGTTTTCGTACACGAATGACAATGAAGTATATCAAAAATTGCTTTCAGTGAAATCAACAGCCGTAGGTGCCGAATATTGTCTCTCCATCAACGCCACTAAATCTAAGGCTCTACTATTTGGTAAAAACAAGAATCGTGAACTATACTCCAATAATTTAGACATTTATTTCGGACAAGACAAAATAACTTTTACAAACTCCGCTAAAAATTTAGGGGTTATTATGAATACAGATCTACGCTTTTCCCAGCATGTCTCTGTTATAACCAAAAGGGCATTTTCATCATTGAAACTGCTATACAATAGCAGAAGCATAATAACCAAGACAACAAAAATAATATTGTGCGAGTCTTTAGTTCTTTCTCACCTCAGCTATGCAGTCTGCGCGTACGGCCCGTCATTGCTACATCGAGATAAGGCGCGCCTTCAGCGTATTCAAAATTCTTGTGTCAGGTTTGTTAATGGTATTAGAAGGCGGCAGCCGATATCTCTTCACTTAAAGAACTTAGGTTGGCTCAATATAGAGAAAAGAAGGTTCCTTCATCGATCCGTACTATACCACAAGATACTCAATACTGAATCACCATCCTATCTTTACAAGAAGATCAAGACCCGTACAGAAGTGCATAGTCGTAACACGAAACAACATCTCTCACTACCTAAATTTAAAACTTCAAATTATAAGTGCTCTTTTTCATATGACATTGTTAAGGTTTACAACTCGCTGCCTGATAGAATTAAAGCCCTATCAATTTTGAGATTTAAGCGAGAAGTGGAGACTATGTT